GTGCCGCTTCTTTCAGGTCTTCTTCTGGTTCAGCATAGCCGCAATCTGCTATAGAAAGTATCATGCGGGCTATTTGTTCGGCTTCGGGGTCGTCCATTTCGACCCATGAGATGATAGGATTTACGGCATCGATGTTGTGTCCATTGAACATTCTGAATGCAGTTGGCTCCTCATCTGCCACTTGTTGTGCTCTTTGCGAGATTTCTTCAGCTTCCTCTCTCGCAATGGCTTGTTGTTTTTTACGAAGCCTCTGGTGGTGACACGTACTCGGGCATCGTGAGTATTTCCATTCTCCAGCTTGCCAGTTGATTTCTGGGTTATGCTGACGTAAATATGACATCCCAATGATCATGTCTAACTTCCCGATGTCCGTGACTAGCAGACGGTGGGTGGAACCATGATCTCCGACTTTGAGATATGCTTTTACATAGTCGGTTATTTCACCATGTTTATTTTGGGATCTGTCAGCATTGTACACTTTATACGTAGTGTTTAGCTTGGAGGTTGCGATTCAATTGTTCTTTACGAATCGCTTGCTGATGTACATGGAATATGCTCCTGAGTCGACTAGAGCTTCGGCGCTCGATTTTTTGCCGTACACCCATAATGTAACTGGTAAATAGAATGATGATAGATTTGGAGACGAATTCTTTATTGTTACATTATCCTCCTCTGCGTTGCGACGATCTACAGAGGTGTCTGATTCGGGTGCTAAATGTACAGGTCTTATATAATGTTCTGGGGACTCTGACGAGCTGCCTACAGATCCCCTTTGAGAAAACCCTTCCGATCCTTCCTCGAAGAGCCCTCTCCCGCCTTCCTTGATGAACTGGATCCATTCGCCCTCAGGTGCCTGAGCCTTGAGAGGATCGCGGCGAAATCTTCGTCCGACTCGGATGCATCAGGCTCGCTTTCTGAGTGGATGCTGCGGTCGCTAATATGTGCAGCTGTCTCCTTACCCTTCCCCTTAGTCTTAGAGGAAGAGCTCTTGTGCTTCTTAATGTCGGGACCACTGTCCGTGTCCATTTCGCTATCGGATGAAGCGGAATCCGATGCTACTTGTCGCGTCTTGGACGACTTGGATTTGTTCCTGGCGTCATCCTTCTTCTTCCCGTCCTTCTTCTTCGCGGCTGCCTCTTTCTCCTTCTCAATCTGCCTCTTGACATGATCTAATTTGAAACAATCAGTGCAATACTTGCCGAAGCGTTTCGACGATTTGAAGAACGTTGGCTTGTTCTTCTTGCAGTTGGCGCATACCAACTTGTCGTCTTGTACACTTCGCGCTTTGCCCGATTTACTCTTCCCCTTCTTCCCGACTGCATCAACCTCCATGGCATTCGGGTCCTTGGTTTCGGCCTTGGCATGGTGGCCTTCTCGTTGTAGTGACGTGAATATCCGGAGTGCGAATGTAAGGAATTCGGTCCACTTCTTGGGCCAGTTGTCCTTAGTGGTATCTGCTAGCATGAGCAGCCACGTTTTCTCCGGAATATGTTTCTTGATTTTTTCGATCAAGTCTTGGTCCGAGAAGCCTGTACCTGTTGCCTTTGGACGGAAGTCTTCTGCGAACTTCCGGAAGTCTCGATGATCCTTCTTGACGAAGGCTTCTAACTCCGTTCGCTTCTTGTCATCCTTGTCCAATGATTCGTATGCGTGCGAAGTTCTGAGACGAACTCCACCCAAGTTCCGGGTGCTTTGTTGTTTTCGTTTATTTCGGTAATCCAATGCCGCATGTATTCGCGTGCTCCTCCTTTCAGGAGCAAGAGGGTAGACATAATTTTGGACTCGTCTTTTGTATGTCCGGTATATTTCAACCAGAGCATGACTTGTTCAAGCCAATCATCGAGATTGACTCCGTCCTTATTGCCACCATATTTTTCTGGTTGGTCAATTTTTACACCTTTACCCTTGCGACCAAACGACGGCTCATCATCGTCGTCCGTGTCGTCGACATTGGTACCGCCTTGCCCTGCTTTCCGTCCTTGCGTGGATGCCCATGCGCGAAGTCGATCGTGTGATTTCTTCAGGTCCTCCATCCTGGTTTGGAGATCCTTGATCTCATCGTCAAATGCCACCAATGAGTCATTAGTGTTCTTGTGGTCCTCGAATAAGGCTGACGAGGTTTTCTCCAAGTCTGACATTCGAGACTCGATTTGTTGACGATGTTGGTCTAAGAAGACCGTCCGATTGTGAAACTCCATGGTGTTACGTTCCATTGTATGCGCTTGACGCTGGATGAGATTTTCGTAGTGCGCCACCGTTTGTTGACGCATTTCTTCCACCACGTTTGTTACGAGATCGACTACCCAATTCTTCACATTTTCAGGTATGTTCGCATTTGGGGGTGCTGTGTCGGCAAGGGCTTGACGAATGATAGGATTCGGGGGTTGCAAAACAATATTGAGACGTGCGGGAAGCTCAGGAGATGGAGCACGAGAAAAGCTTGGATCATTGGGAGTGGGAGTCGTCATATTTACAATTCTTCCTCTATCTCGCGAAGATGTTCTTCGAACTCGGTGATATGCCTATTGGCGATCGTGGCCTGTCAGACAATTATTCGTCCTGAGCGTTGGTTTCGCAGCAGCCAAAGGTCTTGATGGATGACCTTGACGAAGGGTTGCCACAAAAACCTAGTCTTGTCCCGGACTGCGGGCCACTGATGGTTATGATGAATTTCGCAAATACGCTCGATTTCTTCGAGCCACTCGACGAAGCTATTGTAAGCTTCAGTGAGACGGTCCTCCGGTTCTTCGGATCCAATAGGGATATAGCAGATATGAACCGCGACGTTCCTCCAATCAAATTCTGGATAGATTTGGAGGGCGTATATGTGATATACGTCGTGGTAATCAATGTCAAACGTGTCCTCGTATGTAGCAAATGCTTCGCCTGCTCTGTCTCGAAGAACACGTGGAAGTGAATCCCAAAGGTAATCAAAAGTGTGACCGATTGGATTGAGTTGCTCAAAGTTATCAAGATTGTTCGAGTCGCCTGATGAAGACATATACAAAAAGAGTATTCGTATCTACAGCAAAGGTCGCCCTGTGACCTGTATTCCTAAGCGATACTTCTGGATAATATCTCTGATTATCCAGCGAGCCTCTCCGCCCTGATGCTTCCTTTCCTGGACGTAGTTGCAAAAGTCGCGAACCACGTGTTGGTGAACAAAGGAAAGCTTGAATTCTGCGATGTCGGTGCGGATGGATTCGAGCTTGAGTATGAGATGCTCGAGGTCGAGGATGTCGTGGTCGTCAAGCTGACGACGGTATCGTTTGGTGAGTAGGATACAAATCTGTCGAAGGGTGCCTTCGACACGCTGAGTCGAGATGATGGAAACGGCGAGAGGATAGATGAAATGAGACCCTGTAGCGGTCTCGACGTATGTCCCTTGATTGAGATCTGGACCTGATGGTCCTGCAGGTAGTCTCGGTCGCCTGACCGAGGGAGTCTGGATAATAGAAACTGAACTAGTGCCGCGAGGGGGCCGACCTCCCGTAGAGATATGTCCTGGCCTTGGCAGGGGTCTTATGGGCCGCTGCTCGTAGAACTCTTCTGGAGTTCTCGCTCGAGGACGACGGATGACACCGTCGATGCTGCGCAATGCCTTGGTGCAGCTTACGCTGGTAGAGTCGGCGACTGACGGAACGTCAGGTGAAGATATGACACCGCTAACGTGCGGGTGGACGTGTGAAGACGCAACACTGCAGCGAGTATGCTGGGCAGGCACTCGAGGCAGGTAAGATAAGCAGACTTATTCTTCTATCACAAACTTAGGACGCAGAGCGCCGACTAAGCCTATGACCTTATAATCAAACACTTACTGACTGTTGTCGAAGTAGAGATGGACACAGAGATGATCAAGGTAAAGCAGCGACTTGCAAGTGGTCGCTGGTGACACTATATGAATAGGCGTAGCAGAGATGAGAATAAGTCTGGGGGACTTAGACGTCTCAGAGCTCTGGCTTATATACATGAGTGGAGGGACCCTTGGCACCCTGATACCCCAGAACTGCTAGCTAATGGAAATTGTCTGATTGGTTACCACTACCTGTCAGACTACGTGTGTCATGCATGCCGAACCTCTGAGCTACTTAGTAAGACCATGGGAATGGTATTGCCTGTAATGGCTACATCTCCGGTGGCGTGGTATCTATCTACCTCGTGTATGTGAACTAATATCCCCTTAAGGACCTGTCTCCGGTGTCGTGTATTCCCTTCGTTGGATTCTTTCGGAGTCCGACCGTTGCTTCTAGGTGGGATGATATTACTGTATAAGTTAGGCTTACCTAATACCAGCGCTACTTGTCACATGTGTAGATATCACGTGATATGTCACGTGATTAGACCTGGACCTTCGGGGTGCCTAGGACTGTTAGTACTTCGCGTACCAGTTCGTTCCTTTCTGAACAGCCTAGCGCTGGTGTCAAGTGATGTCTTGGTCACGTGCAGAGGTGAAAACGTGAAAATCTGTGACAGTATGGCGATGTGTTCTCCAAGAAGCAGTTGGAATGAATGCCCACAAGAAAGCCCTACAATCATCCAATCGAACTTGTTCCAGAGGCATCGTTACCACGCCTGGCAAAGTTATATCCTATGAACCTGCAGGAAAGAAATTCGCTCGACATGTGGATAGACCAAGAGTTGGCCAAAGAATACATTAAGAGATCAAGAAGTCCAACAGCAGCACCTGTCTTCTTCGTCAAAAAGAAAGATGGGTCACTGAGGCTGGTACAAAATTACAGGAACCTCAATGCAGTAACAAAGAAGAACAAGTTCCCAATCCCACACATTTCGGACCTCATCGACAGACTCTCACAAGCTAGCATCTTTACGAAGCTTGATCTGAGATGGGGGTTCAACAACATACAGTATGAATTAGGGAAGGAGATGAAGAGAAAGCCACCTTCATCACACACCACGGCCTCTTCAAACCCACTGTAATGTACTTCAGTTTCTGCCATGCTCCTAGCACCTTTCAAACAATGATGAATACAGTCCTCGAGGACTTAATTCGCACTGGAAAGGTGGTAGTCTACTTAGACGACATCCTCATATTTATGGACGATCTCGAAGAATACCGACGACTAGTAAAAGCAGTTCTACAGCACCTTCGGGACAATGACTTATATACCAAACCAGAAAAGTGCTTCTTTGAACAATCCTCAATCGAGTATCTTGGCATGATCATCAGCAAGAACTCGGTACAGATGGACCCTGCTAAAGTCGAAGGTGTACTTGGCTGGCCCGCACCTACAAAGGTCAAACAAGTACAGGCCTTTTTAGGATTCGCGAATTTCTACAGGTGATTTATAAAGGACTTTGCAAAACTCGCATGACCTTTAACACTTCTCACCTGTAAGGATGTGCCCTGGCAATGGAAGGACGAGCAAGACCAAGCCTTCAGTGCACTCAAAATGGCATTCACTTCAGCCCTGATCCTACAACTCCTCAACGATACTGCACCCTACTGACTGAAGACAGATTCTTCAGACTATGCAACCAGCACAGTACTTGAACCACTGAGAGAGGACAAACTGTGGCATCCCGTCGCATACTACTCCAAGTCACTCAATGAACATGAGCGAAACTATGAGATTTATGACAAGGAGATGCTTGCAATCATTTAGGCACTAGAAAAATACCGGCACTACTTAGAAGGACACCCAGAACCCATTGAGATTTGGTCAGACCATCTCAACCTTACATACTTCTGTCAGGCACAAAAATTATCCCAGTGCCAAGTGCGCTGGTCATCATTCCTCACACGTTTCAATTTCATTCTCAGTCACCAACCTGGAAAGACAATGCTTTGTGCTGATCCTCTATCCAGGAGGCCAGACCATGAGAGGGGGGTAAACAGCGACAATTCGAATCAAATGCTGTTAAAACCTGAATTTTTCGCTATCAATGCGATTCGACCCACTCATGCATCTGAAGTTGATGATGCACAACTACTGAAAAGGATCAATAAGGCACTCACAGATGCCATGATGATCAAGGATTATCGTGTGCTTTTGACTGCAGGACAGCGCGAATTTGGAAAAAACCTCGCAGAATGGAACTTTGAGCATGAACTGCTGCTCCATCACAGAAAGGTTTATGTCCCCAAAGATCAACAGCTATGCCTAGACCTAATAAAGCTCCATCATGATACATTACCAGCTGGACACCCAGGCAGGTTCAAAACATTGGAACTCATGACTCGAAACTATTGGTGGCCAGGAATGTCTGTAATGGTTAAACAATATGTACAAGGTTGTGACAGTTGTCAACGCAACAAGTACTCAAGAGAAAAACCATATGGACTATTACAACCTAATAATGTACCAGGAGGACCATGGGAGATCGTCACAGTTGATCTCATCATGCAACTTCCTCCAGCCATGGACTTTAGGGGAGAAAGGAAAATGACAATACTTGTCATCATAGATAGACTAAGGAAGTGAGGGCGCTTCTATGTGATAGACGACACAGTCACATCGTTACAAATCGCTAACGTATTCTAAAATGAAGTCTTCAAACTCGACGGATTGCCGCACCAGATTATCTCAGACAGAGGTACTCAGTTTGCAAGCAAACTATTCCAGGAGTTCTGCCAGAAGCTCAGCATAAAGTCAACAATGTCTACAGCATACCATGCCCAAACAGATGGTCAGATGGAGAGGGTTAACCAGGTGTTGGAACAGTACCTGCGCATGTACTGCAACCATAGACAGAATGATTGGGTCTATTACCTGCCAACAGCAGAATTTTCATACAACAACCAGACCCATGAGTCCACCACACTTTCCTCATTCTTCATCGAATATAATCAACATGCAAAAATGGCACCAGACGTACATGAATCGATATGTCATCCTTCATTGGAACATTTATTCGCCTGCCAATCCGAGGCACAAGAACAGGCAAAGGCAGCATTGGAAGTTTCGGCTTCACGGATGAAATGGTACTTTGACGAGAAAAAGGGAGAAGTCCCATTCACAGTCAGAGACCTAGTACTACTCAAGGGAAAGGATCTCAGAGTAAAAGTCAAGTTCGCGAAATTAGGCACGCAAAATTTCGGACCTTACAAAGTGCTTCAAAAGCTAGGCCCAGTCACGTTCAGACTGGAACTACCCAAGCAAATGATGGTTCACCCAGTCTTCCATGCTAGCAAGTTGATCATGTATCACCAAGACACAGTTGCAAACTGCGAACCCCCAAAGCCCCCAGCTATAGAAGTCGAAGAAGAACCAGAATTTGAAGTTGAAGAAATACTAGACTCAAAGGTCGTGAGGGGAAGGGTCCAATACCTCATCAAATGGAAAGGCTATGACCATTCTGATGATACATGAAAACCCCGAATGAATCTCACCAACGCCGACGAGCTTCTTCAAGAATTCCACCAACAACACCCAGACACAGCCAAAGCACCAATCAGAGTCGTCACTTTTGGTGGAAAACACTTCGAACTATCCTCATACGAAGTTGCACCAATATCCACACACAGAATCAACATGTCCGACCACCCAGACGAGTTCTTCCTATATCATAAAATGACGGATAACACCAAATCACTGAAAAAATCCTCAAATGAAGCAGCCGGATGGGATATTTATGCAGCAGAAACACATGAAATCCCCCCACATTCACGAGCTGTGGTAGAAACAGGAGTCGCCATTGACCCTTCAAAACACACCTACACACGAATAGCTCCACGAAATGGACTGGCTGCTCAAGGAACTGACATGGGCACAGGAGGCATTGACCCAGATTACACTGGAGAACTCAAGGTTGTATTGATCAACACAACAGATATTGTATTTTCGGTTAAGCCAGGAGACAGGATAGCTCAGGTAATGTTCGAATATTATGCTGAGGGAATCCCTTCCAGAAGCTATCAATTGTTGTGAGCAACAAGAAGGGGAAACAAAGGTTTTGGCTCCTCGAGACAATGAGCCTTGAGAGGGGGGTTGTGTCACAAATTTTCACCACAAAGTTTGCACATGACTTTTCTCATGCCACAGATCATGTGCTTCACCAATATTTCATGCCATCAGCCACAGACGCAACATGTAGAGATCAGGTGATAGTCCACATCACATGTTATGGTCCAGACCCATGAATGATACAGTCAGACCTGTCTATTCCAGGATACAATAGAGGCAGCCATTTGGGAACAAAGGAAACAAGGACTATTGTTAAGCATTGGTTTTCTGCTTCCTATTAGTTTAGCCAGAAGCCTAGATAGGCACGATATCCACACCGGAGAACAAAAGGGAAACCAAGATAGGCACGATGTTCACACACATTACTGCAGCAGCCATCGATCTTTCCACTTATTGTTCTACTTCTGGACCTTCCATTGTCTCATGTACAGCCATTAGCTTATACCTGTAGATAGGTAGCTTAGGTAAGATAGCCCGCTGTACATGTATATAAGACCAGCATGTAGAGGACGAAACCTCAGATTGTTTCTCCTCGTCTATCACTGTAGCACCTTACTGAGCCCACAAGCTCCTTCATATATCTCTCACCCTTCCCACCGCTTGCACCGCTGACAAGTAAGTCTTGAGCTCTTGCACCACATAAGGGTTCAGGGGGATTACTGGGATCAGGGGGATCAGGGCAGCACGTTCCATGTGACCGATCCTTTTTAGTCTTTTTGATCTCTTGTCCAGCAGTGCTGTGACACCCTCATGTCCGCATCTTCTTTTTGTTCAGCAAGAACATGGCAATGGATCATGCAGCTTCACTTACCAAATTTGAGCTTCAAGAAAGCTCCGTCCAACCACCAACTGTTTGGGGCAAAGCACGGGTGTCTATGGTGTCCACGAGTGCCTGGATCTGCACAACAGCCATATTGACTTGAAGCAGCATTATGATCAGACACAAAATGCTGATGAATATCGAGATTCCAGCAAGTGTGGGGATAATAGATCAATCCTTATTGTAAGGTGAGGCAGAGGCAGACGCGCCGGGCGAGTACTCGCTCGGTCCCATTCCATGAATGTCTTTCTCACTATCATCCTCACTGAGTAGGCCATACTTTGACATCGTGAACGCAGCCTCATATGGGCCAACATCTGTCAGAGGGTTCAGGAAGAGGACATTGTGTGACATCTTACCTGGAGATTGTGGTTGCTGCAATGCCGTTTGCACAAAGAGAGAGAAACAGCGCCACCGGGACAGAACTGCCAGAATGATATATCTGGCATAAACACCTGTTTAGGCTTGCATGATATATTCAGGATGAACATCGATTACTTGTTATGTGGATGGGCACAAGAAGCCTGCATGAGGATAGGGTATGAGGACAGCGTCATGCCTTGTTGGGTGACATCCAACCTAAGACTGGCCCCAGCTACAGAGACTCCTTGCACACATGCACACTGCATCGTGACTGGATCAAAATTCGGTAGTCGATTGCCACATTAGACTTTGATATATACCGCTTGGGTTTCAAATTTGATTTGCCCTTATTCATTGGGATTCATCGAAGAACTACAAAACTGGAGCATCTTCATGTCATACTGATATTGGAGTCTCGGGAAAGACAGATGTCCCATAGTGCACATGTATTTTGCACGTGGTCCTAGGGCACAGACAAGTTCCACAGTGCTGCATCTAATGCCGAATTGTTATTTGACTGACTCTGTAGCGCCACGAGGGGATTCATGGAAGATGTTTGCAGAAGGTATGATTCACTTCATGTTAATGGCCTGCACTTGAGTGACAAACCAGAACTTCAGAAGGCAGGAACACGAAGTCCTCCGTCCGTTTAGCTTCGTTAAAACCCTCTTGGGTCTCAGATCTCAACAGTCAGACAGTGAAGTATGGATACATGCCTGCAAAGGCATGCTGACCATCTGATATTAGGCCACACTCCTTCTACGAAAGGTTTGCTGAATGCCTGGGATTCCTACTCGATGACACTTGCTCGCTGTTACATCCTAGGTCTGCTAACTTGGATTTCTACAGCAGAATCTCTCGTAAAGGATGCTACAACTTTCGCTTCCCGTGTTTGCACATGCAGTTCATACAATGCCTCAGTTCAGCTCCCTGGCCATCTGTATCATGACCATTGTTACACTGGTGGCAATGAACGTTGGATTGGCGATTTACACGTATGCAACACTGCATCAAGTGCTGTCATTTGATCCCCTCGCCTGTTCATACAGTGCATCTTGCGCTTGCCCTCCATGTCCTTGCACCTCATTGCAGCCCAGCATATGTAGACAATGACCATCCCATGCAACTGCCGATTGTGCAGCCTCCTGTGGGGCATGTGCTTGTCTTCAGCATGCCAAACTTCTCCATCTATGACGACGATGAGTGGAGGACGCTCTTTCTGACAGACAGGTTCACTGAACAGGGCTCCGAGCAGCGTATATTCCAGCTTTTGATGTTTCACCAGCTCCCTGCCTCGACGTCATGCACATCACATTTGTCATCCAGGGGCCCAGTGCCGAGGAGCACTTCCAGCACTGCATCTGGTACCTGCTGCAGACCATTCTGTGTGCAGCGAATGTGACACTCAAGCCTGATCAAATTCAGAATCACAGCATCAGGTGGAGAGCCAGTGGAATAGGACAGGTGCACAGGTGCAGAGATTGGAAGGCAGTGTTGAGGTATATCTCGGAGCATCCGATCATTGACTCCGAAGCCTGAACAACTGATGACCTGATACCTCAAATATCTGCTTGCTATGTAGTTCTGCATCCATAGAACTCGTTGATATATTCAGTGGTTGTGGGTGCTTGAGTAATTAAAGGGCTGCCTGCACTACAATTTTTTTGTAACTGCGCAACATATGCACATGATTCGCGATGCCTGTCCACCTGATACCACGTACCCTGTAGTCGCCATACTCTCACAATGTCAAATGATGCAGTATACTCACGAAGCCTTTGTAGCTTGGATGGAAACAACGCATGAAAAGATTTCTGAGCATAATAAAAAGGCAAGAATATATGGCAGCAATCATAGTAAATCAGCCTCAAACCCGCTGCTCACTATATGGGAATAACGCTGCTCGAGGCAGCATCACTTCCCTGGGAGTCTTTATGAGGAAGCAGTTCATCATCACCCTTCACAATCCACTCACATCTGAGGTCCTCTGCACTCGAGGCAACATGCGTCATAGACAGCTGAACTTCCTGCTCTGGCTGATGCGCCCGGAATGACATGTTGGTCATGTTGAGCCTGCTCGTGAACTGATCTGAAAGGCTTAGATACACAGGGATCATGATCAAAGTCAGTGCGATGCTGTCACAAAGCACCAAAGCACTTAACCCAATTAAGGGCAAGTCTGCTTTTGTGACCTGCACAAATGATCCCACATAAAAAGCCTGCCACAAGGGCTAGGCTGAGGATGCGCGCAGTGGTATGCAGTCTGGAAAAGGGGCTCAAAGGGCCCTTAGCCTTATGCTCACAACTAGGAGGTGAATTGGCTGTTTAGGCCGCATACAATAGGATAATGAATCTAAGGTTCTCCCTTAGATCCTCATGGGCTTATATACATGTAGGGCAGGGCCCCTGGCACTGTGCTACTGTGAGACCTCAGATACCTACATGTGAACATATTGCCAGAACCAGTAATGGTTCTGGACTTCGTCATAGCAACTATCTACAATGGCCGTGGATACGCTGAGGTAATCCTATCTAATCCAATGAGATAAATGCCTGTAAGTGGGCCCACTGTTGAGGGGCCAAT